GAGTAACTAAAATAATATTAGTTTGAATTTTGTGCCAAGCAGCTTCAAATGATTCTATAATATTAGTTATAGAAGAAATATTGTTATTTTAAAGATTAGATATAACTTGGTTAGTAAAGTTTTGCCAGAGGTCTTGGTTTATTTGTTTATAGACAAATACTTTATATTTAGTTTTTGTTACTAATTATTGTTTTCTAGTAATAATATATAGGAATTCTTAGAATAATATTAGTATATTATAATTACTAAGTGTATATTAGTTAGGATTATCTATATAATAGAAGGTTAAGTATTAGATAATAGAATAATTAGCTCAAATATAGTCAATACAACTGTTATATCTGTTACTATGCCATGTAGGGATTAAGAATTGTGTATGTTTTGCTAAATCATATATATTATTGTGTTGAAGAAAATAAATAAGTTTAAGTTTAATAAATAATAATTGTAAGTTGTCAGAAACATTAAAGTTACTTATAACAATTAGTTTTATATTATTTGTGTTTGCTTTTTGAATTTATTGTATAATATTGTTTTGAATAAGAAGTCTAAGTTGAAGGTTATTACAAAATAGATAAACTGATATAATGTAAAATTTTAAAGTCATGTTTAAAGAAAAAGTCTATTGCAATAGCATATCCAAGAAAGTTAAGTGTTTTATGAACATATAATTTAAGGTGTTTTTGAATCATAATAGTTGTTCAACATTACAATTATTAGTATATAACCAATAATAAATAAAGTGTTAAGATCTGAAAAATTTAGCATATGTATTGTTTTGTAAGATTTTAGTTTCTGTAATGCTAGCAATGTTGATGTTATAAGATAGAAATAATTCTCTCATGTTTGTTGTTTTAAGTTGTCATTATATCCTAATATATTATATGTACATATTGTCAAATAAAATAATTTGTATAAGTTAGATATAGATGTTTTGGCTATTAGTAGTTAAGAAGTAAATTATATATAATTATTATTAGAAGATGTAGATTTAGAGATGGTCTCTGACCAGGAAGCTGTATGATTAGATGCAAAGGTAGATAATAAATTAGTAGATGAGAATGCTAAAGATGAGTCAGCAAGGAATAGTTAATCAAATGAAAATGAGTAGATATAGAATAAAGTATTGTTTGGTATTGTTAGTAAAGGTAAGTGCTTGTATAGTTTATATTGAAAGAGTTAAATAGAATAATGTTTAAATAAAATGGAATTTGAAGAATTAATGTATATGTATAGCTTAGTTTTGTTTTGATTAATAGATATATTAAGGCTATACTTAAAGGAATGTTTTTGAAGATAGGATAAAAATTTTTTAAATATTATATAGTAATATATGATAAGTAGGTTATATAGTAATAGAAATTTGTTATAATATGTATTTGTTTTCTGCAGAAGATAAAGTGTTAAGAACAGAAACTTAAAAGGTTGGATTGCCTTTTATAAGAATATTCACTATTTGAAGCTCAGTCTGCATAGCTGTAAAGGGTATCATAGTCTGTTTTATACATTGGATCTAACTATCATTAACTTGGCTTTTCATATAAATAGGTTTTACTACCTGCCTACTTATATCATTTTTCTTACCAACTACTAAGAGTATATCTCTTGGCAAGATGGCAGCTACATCTATAAGGTTTGTAGAAGACAAATTTACTAAAAAGAAGTTTTCTTAAAGAAGAGAAACTTTTTAATTAAAGAAATAATTAAGTATAATTTTGAAATTTATTTTGTAATATTTTGTTTGCTTCTGAATAGGCTATTTCTTAGTAATAAGTATTGATTTGTGAATATGTTAATGATTTGTTAAAAAAGTTAAAAAAAGTTAAAACTCTTGCTAATAGTTCTGTACTAATGGGCTTAAAGGTAATAAATTCTATTACTTACTATTTGTTGAGTTTATTGATATGATGGTTTTGTGCTGTAGTGTTTTGATATAGATTAAAATGTAAATAAAAGTATTAACTACATCATTTAGAATTAGTTAGAATATTGTTAATTTTGTAAACAGATTTTTCTATTTCTGTTACAAGCTCATTAAAAAGAGTAATAGGAATTTGTTTGTTAAAGAATGCTTCATGTTCGCTATTTTTGTAAAATATGAATAAATTAATCTTAGGTTATTTTCAAATTTTATTTTTTTGTTTTAGAAAATTTTCATATAATTTTTTAAGAATATTATTTGATAATTATAAAAAGTTATATTAATATAAAGGATTTGGGATTATAGTAGATGGATTTGTATTTTTTGTTTTTTTTCTTTGTTTTTAGGTTCTATTTGTACTAAGTAGAAACAAGTTTCTTCCTTACAAGTAAGAATATAAAAGTTTGCTAGTTTTATGATTTTATTTTAGCATTCTTATAAATTATGAAATTATTAAAAGTTTATTGTAATAGGTAATGTTTCTTTAAGATAAAAAATGAATTGCTATCAAATTTGATATTTTAGAGAATTAAAAACTTTAATTTCATCTAGTAGTTAAATAAATTGATAATTGTATATTAGAAAAAATTATTTAAACCATTGTTTTAAATGGTCTAAAAAGTTTACAAGAGATGAAATATTTAGTTTTTAATGAAAAAGTATTTTTGAAATATTAAAGTCAAGATAGATATTGAATTTGTTATCAGATTTAATTATAATATATTGCTTGTTTTTGTTAAAATCAGATACTTTTAATATTATATTAAATCTTTTAAATTGAAGTTGAAATTCTTTGGCAAATTTAATATAATCAATAGCTTGATAGTTATTTGAAAAATATAGATAAATACAAGCTAGATTAATACAGAGTTGTAGCTGGTTTTAATTGATATATGAAGGAATAGTTACTAAAAATACAAAAATTTTAAAGTAGTTGAGTTTTATAAACAAAATTGTTATAAATGCTAGAATAAGTTTTTTGAAAGTTTTTTCAAAAATGTTAAAAAGAATTATAATTGTTTTATTTATATTAAAATTAGTTTGTTGAATAAAATTAATAAGAAACTGAGACCTATTTTTAATCATTTTACAAATAATATGGTAAAAGCTAGCTTTAAGGGCCTTTTGCTTAGAAGTTTCAGGTTTGATTTCTTTATTAAAATAAAAGTCATGCAAGTAGGATTTGAGAAAATTGAAAATTTTTTTAAAAAATTCTGTTTGAAGTTGTGATTTGTCTTTTATTTCATCAGAAATTGAAAAGTTAACAAGCTAGTTAAATATTGGATTAGCTTTAATTTTTTATTAATTATTAGTAGTATTAGTTTGTGTTTGTTACTGCTTTTGTTTGTTTATTTTTTGTTGTTATTATTGTTGTTTCTTAAGATAGAATGAGTTTTGGTATAGTAGTTGTTGCTGTTGTTATTGTTGTTAGTTGTTATTGTTAATAATGTTGTTATCTAGGTTCATATTATTTATAATATTATTATTGTTACTGGATAAGATTATGAATGTAAGTTCAGATACTAGTGGGTTGTAAAAACTGATTGTTTGTTGTAGTTTTTAAATAAATGTAGGTGAGAAACTTGATTGTTAAATAGGTTGTTGAATATTTGCATATATTTTGTAATAGGATTTGTCATTGTATAAAATTGCATCTGCTGCCAAATAATGTTGATTGTTTATTTTTTTGTAGACAATAGGCAAGTTGCATTTAGCATATTGGTGATTATGTATAGTAGATGAAGGTGATGCTGTAGGTGATGATAAAATAAATTTAGTAAAATTTATGATATTATTTGCTAAAGATTTTTTATCTTTAGATTTTTTATTAATAAAAATGACTTTATGTTGTTTATAGATTTAGTTAATAGTTAAAATAAAGTGGATGTAGAACTTGTTACAAAAATATATAATAATAAAACTGGATTCAGATGCTTTAAAGTAATGACAACTTTTAGTTTCTTTTCTAAGTTTTGTAGTTAAATAGTTGTTAGATTGCTTATTTACAGGAATGAGATATGATGTATTAGTTGCATCTTTAAGAATACAATATCAAAGCTTTTAAAATACTTTTGATAAAAATAATCAAGATCGATAATATTAGGTACAACTGTTGTTAAGGTTGATATTTTATTCTAAAAATAGATTCTTAAATATGTTATACAAAAAAATTTGTTTAATTTAAAAATTTTTAGACTAGTTAGGAAAATTTAGAAAAGTATATGAGCTTCAGATAAGCTTATTAGATGTTTAAAAAATTCTAATAAGTATCAGAAAAATGAAATTTTTGGAGCAATCCAATAATTTTTTCTAAAATTATTAATGAAAAAACCTACAATAAGCAAGTTTTTGTTTTTGTTTTTTGCTTGTATCTTTATACATTTTAGTCTGTTTTTAATAAATTATATATCAAAATATTCATCTCAGTAAGCTGAACAATTTTCAAATAGGTATAAAGTTAGATTTAATTAGTAAAATTATATATAAATAAACAAAAACCAAATACTTGATTTTTGGAACTTTTCTTGGCAACCAAATATTATTGGAAAATAAAAATTAGCTATCTAGAAGAAAATAAGTATGCCAAACAATTATAGTTAATAGGTCAAGTAAGGTTTATTTAATAGAAAGTTAAGAAATGATCAAATGTTTTTTTATAGTTTTGGTATAAATGATCTATGAAGAGAGTTGATTACAGATTTAGATTTTTTTATTAATAAATATGAATAACTATTTTTTGATTATAAGAAATTTTTATTTCAAAAAAAATGCTTTTTTTGTTATAAGTCAGAATGGATATAATATTTTGAAGAATTTTAGTTGTATAATTTATTTTAGAAAAAATAACACTTTATACTTGATTAATAGATAATTTTGAAATATTCTAGTTTTTATTCTAATTAATAGGCATTTGTTTAACAAAGAATATATCCTGAATAGATGAAAGAATATTTTGAGCTTGAAGCTTCTTTTTTCTGTTTCTTTTTCTTATTTCATTACTAATTATTTTCTTATTTGTTAAATACAGAAACTTGTTAATCTTTTTATTTTCTAACAATTTAGATTTCATATAGGTAGGTTAACATGCATCAGAATTACTATAGGCAGTTGCAGAATGACTAGATGCATTAGATGTATTTTTTATCTTTTTAGGATCACTGTCAGAATTTATTTTTGAAGAAATAATACTTTGTATCTGCTCAAGGTTTACAGAATTGATACTATCATCTTCATCAGAATGAGTATTAATAGGTAATAAAATAAGCATTTGTGAAATTGCTGATAATGCCAGAGAAGCTAAAGACTATGAAGCATTATTAGTTGTATTATTCTATATCTACTTCTTTTAAGATAGTAGGTAATTAAAGTGATCTTAGACAGTGAACACTTTTTGTAACCTTACTTGTTACTGTGTTATAACTAAGTCGAAAGGCATTTTATTTTAGAAAACTTAACAAAAAAGATTTAAGGCAATTTGCAATTA